TGTATTCATTAGTGAATGCATTGAAACGTCAAATCAATTGTTTGTCAACAGATTTATCGCGAAATGACTTATTGTTAAACAAATGTCACAAATGTTTAACACATTTATTGAATACAAAACAAATAGACTTTGAATTAATCCAAGAATTAGTGGATTTGATTGCATTGAATGCCACCGAAAGTCGTGTCAATTGTGAGCAGAAAAATGGTTTTGTTTTCATCACTCAATCCAACGGTAAATGAATTATAATTTGAAAACAATTTATAATTTAATTCATCACTAGTTTTGGGAACAACTGATTGTCAGAGAAGTGATGACCAGAGGAATGAAGAGTCGATTGGAGACCAAGAAGTGGTCATTAAATCGGAAGACAATCACAACAACGGTTCCAGTGATGAGGAAATGTGTGAAACATCTCAAGACATTCACTCAACGGAAGGGCTGTTCATGTGTTTACTAAAAGGCTGTCAAAACACGTTTGAATTAAAACAGAACTATACTCGACATCAACTGGTAGTACATCCCGACGCCTTTCCCCACAAACCATGGATTCAATGCTCGCATACGGGCTGTCAGTTTAGGACTAAACACACGGGAACTATGACTCAACACTCGCACAAACATACGAAGCCATTCGTGTGCACCCGATGTGGACAGACATTCACCAGTAATATAGCCCTTAGGCTGCACTCAATGAGAAATAATTGTCACCCGATATCACAAACCAATGAAAGGACGGTTGAGTCTCAAGACGTGAACACAAATGAAGAGTCGAATGCAGACCAAGAAGTGGTCTTAAAATCGGGCGGACATCGAGATAACGGTTCCAATGATACGATAATGTGTGACAAACCCAAAGTCATTCAAACAACTGATGGACTGTTCGCGTGTTCACTAAATGGCTGTCAAAACACGTTTGAATTCAAACAAAACCTAACCCGACATCATCTGGTGGTACATCCCGACGCCTTTCCGGACATACCGTGGATTGAATGCCAGTATACGGGCTGTGAGTATAGGACTAAACACAAGCATACTATGAGACAACACGAGTACAAACATACGAAGCCATTCAAGTGCTCCCGATGTGGACAGGGATTCAAGAGTAATAGGGCTCTTGAGGTTCACTCCAAGAAACAACACAACAAACAGTTGGTGAGAGTCCGCACCAGAGGGTCCGGTTGTGGCAACACTTCTGTCAATAAAAGTCGTCTCAAATCACAGACCAATAGACAGACTGTTGGGACACAAGTGATGAACACAAATGCAGACCAAGAAGTGGTCATCAAATCAGAAGACATTCAACTAATTGAAGAGCTGTTCGTGTGTTCACTAAATGGCTGTGAATTCAGTTGTCGACGAAAGCCTGACATCAATCGACACCAACTGGTCGTACATCCGGACGCCTTTCCCCACAAACCATGGCTTAAATGCCCGCAAAAGGGTTGTCAGTACAGGACTAAACACAAGGGAACTCTGACTCAACACTCGTATAGACATACGACACCATTCAAGTGCACCCAATGTGGACAGACATTCCCCACAAATTTTGCGCTCAAACACCACTTCCAGAGGAATCATAACAAAGAGTTAGTGATAGCCCGCACCCAACGATCCACTTGTGGCAAATCAACTGTCAATAAAAGTCGTCTTAAATCACAGCCCAATAGACAGACTGTTGGGACACAAGACGTGAACACAAATGAAGAGTCGTTTGGAGACCAAGAAGTGGTCATTAAATCAGAAGACATACAATCAATAGAAGAGCTGTTCGTGTGTTCACTAAATGGCTGTGAATTCAGTAATCGACGAAAGCCTGACTTCAATCGACACCAACTGGTCGTACATCCGGACGCCTTTCCCCACAAACCATGGCTTAAATGCCCGCAAAAGGGTTGTCAGTACAGGACTAAACACAAGGGAACTCTGACTCAACACTCGTATAGACATACGACACCATTCAAGTGCACCCAATGTGGACAGACATTCCCCACAAATTTTGCGCTCAAACACCACTTCCAGAGGAATCATAACAAAGAGTTAGTGATAGCCCGCACCCAACGATCCACTTGTGGCAAATCAACTGTCAATAAAAGTCGTCTTAAATCACAGCCCAATAGACAGACTGTTGGGACACAAGACGTGAACACAAATGAAGAGTCGTTTGGAGACCAAGAAGTGGTCATTAAATCAGAAGACATACAATCAATAGAAGAGCTGTTCGTGTGTTCACTAAATGGCTGTGAATTCAGTAATCGACGAAAGCCTGACTTCAATCGACACCAACTGGTCGTACATCCGGACGCCTTTCCCCACAAACCATGGCTTAAATGCCCGCAAAAGGGTTGTCAGTACAGGACTAAACACAAGGGAACTCTAACTCATGACGAAAGCCTGACTTCAATCGACACCAACTGGTCGTACATCCGGACGCCTTTCCCCACAAACCATGGCTTAAATGCCCGCAAAAGGGTTGTCAGTACAGAACTAAACACAAGGGAACTCTAACTCAACACTCGTACAGACATACTCTTAGACGCACTCACGTGACAGTTATCCACAAGAAAATTAACGGTCGGTTTGTTTGCGATTATATCGGTTGCGGTAAGAGTTTTACAAAGTTGTCGAAACTAAACAGACATAAATACACCCACTCTGCGAAGAGCTTCCGGTGCGATGTGGACGGGTGTACAGCAAAGTACTCATCGCCCATATATCTAAGAGATCATAAAAAGCGAAAACATAGCACTAAATACCGGTGCGATTGGGAGGGGTGTGACTTTAAAACTGGCGATAAATACACCTTTAATAAACACCAATTGATTGCGCATTCAGGGGAACGTCCGTTTACGTGTCCGGTCGAGGAATGCCTGAAAACGTTTAAAGATAAATACACTATGAATGACCATAAGCTGATACAACATCCCGACTCTGTGCCGGAAGTGCCGTGGATTCAGTGCACACACACTGACTGCCAGTTTAGGACCAAATCCAAGTGGTCTTTAAAGGCGCACGTGAGACAACACTCGAAACACTACCGGTGCGATGAGTGCGGCAAATGGTTCACACATTTATCTCAACTCAAGGGACATGTGCCCACACATAGCGATGTCCTTAATTACCGGTGCGATTGGCCCGGTTTTTTGTTTTGTTTTGTTTATTGAATGAAATTAAGAGTCGGTTTTTGCTCCAAAATAAAAATACAAAAACCTTTACACTTATTGAATGTTCATTTGTTTGACTAAAATAACAATTAATTCCTATTAAACTACTAATTCTTATAAAAAGTTTGATAAAGAGACAATTCTTTATATACAATGAGATTATTTAAAATGAAATGTAATTATTTATGACTTAAAAGTAAATGAGTTTGAAATCAGAACTTAATCTGTTTTAAGAATTGAATCAAATGTTTGTATAAGTTTTGGTCACTAATGAGTTGATCCAATGGTATGAATGAGTGACCCCTTCGATGGATGGCATTTAGGAACGGAAACCTCTGTTCGGCGTATAGATTGCAGTCATATATCACATGAATCGGTGTCTCTATGTCTTCACCGCATAAACACATATCACTTGACGTCAAATGAAATCTCTTGAGGTATGAGTTGAAGTTTCCGTGTCCTGAGAGGTATTGAGTGATCACATAGTTTGGTGACAATGTCTTGCAGTCGAGTCTGTGTTTTATATTCGGTATGAAGTCTTTTGTTTGCGAAGCTTTGGTTGTAGTCCTCCACCAGTCCTCCCATTCGTTATACAAAACACTTTTAAATTGATTTTTAGCGAAAGACAGCGGAAACGAGTCGTATATCGAATCCATTGGACTTAAATCGGCGCCACTTTTAGCCAATTGGTCGGCCCTCTCATTGCCAGCGATGTCTGTGTGGCCTCTAATCCACTTCATATGGAGTGTCAGTCTATCGCCACAATAACTGATGAGTCTTTTGATCTCTTCGACCAAAGGATGAGAATTTCTAAACTGTTTGATGGCATTTAGAGCACTCTGAGAGTCCGACAGAATAATGACTTTAATGTTGAATCTAATGAAGTCATCGCCGATGAGCTCCTGAATGGCTTCAATAGACTCCTTGATGGCCATGAGTTCGCTCTGAAACACTGAACACATGACACCTAATCTGAAGTTTTTGGACATCTCTTCGACGCCATCCCTGTAGACGACGAAAGCGGCGCCGACACTGGTGTCAGACTTTGAGCCGTCGGTGTAGACCTCGTAGTCGTAGTCACAGGAGTTGTGATC